ACCACTATATCCCCTCCAACAGACCCTATATCCCCCCATATCCCTCAAGAACCCCTATACCCCTTATATCCCCCATATATCTCTCTGCTTCCCATATTTCCATATATCTATCTCCCCATACCAGCTATATCCCCTATATCCCCCAGTACTCCCTGTACCCCTTATATGCCCCTATATCCTCTTATATCCCCCTATATCCTCCTGAGTCTCACATAAACCTCCTATATCTCCCTATCCCCCCATACCTCCTATCATCTCCCCTATCCCCCTATAACTCCCTATATCCCCCCTATATCCCCCCTATATCTCCACTAACCCCTCTATAACTCTATATCTCCTATACCCACTTATATCTTCCTTATCCCCCATATAATCTGCTATATCTCCTATAGTCCCTATGCCCCCTATATCCCCCTATATCTTCCCAATCTCTCTATAACCCCCTATATCTCCTATACCTCTTATATCTCCCATCTCCCTACATCCCCTATACCCCCTATATCTCCTCTATTCCCCCTATAACCTCCTATATCCCCTATATCTCCCCTATCCCCCTTATAGTCCATACCCCCTTATATATGCCCTATATCTCCCTATATATGCCCTATATCTCCTATGCCTTCTATACCCCCATTATCTCCCCTATAGCTCCCTATAGCCCCCTATATTCCCCCATAAAGCCCTCTATCCCCTGTATCCCCTATATCTCCCCTATATGCCCTATATTTTCTCTACCCCCTATATATCCCCTATATCCCTCTATATATCCCGTATATATCTGCTATATCCCCTATAACCCCCTATATCCCCTATATATCCCCTATATCCCCCATAACCCCCTATAGCCCCCCATAACTCCCTATAGCCCCTATATATCCCCTATATCCCCCATAACCCCCTATATCCCCCCAGAGGAGGAGCGCCCCAGGCCGCGGTGAGACCCGCAGGGGGCGGGGCCGGCGCGGCGGGAGGAGGGGGCGTGGCCCGGACGGGGCCCCGCCCCTCGCGCGCTGACCCCGCCCCCCGCCAGCCCCGTGGTGCCCCAGTTGGCCCCGCCCAAGATCCCCGAGGGCGAGAAGGTCGACTTCG